TAAACCTGACTCCCTTCACCAGGTTTAACTGGGAAATGTGGGCACTGACACACATTATGAACACGCATCTCTGATACAATGATGAAACTTTGTCTCCAACTTGTTTCTTGCTGGGCAAGAAACATATTATTCAAACACATATTTTGTGTTTGAAACTACAGCTGGGGCATCTTGACAATATGGAAGAGTGGATCAATTAAGCGGGGAGGCTTCACTTCCCTTACAGTCCTTGCTCCTGGACATGTGCTCCCACTTCTCCATGTGCCAGCTGAGATCCACACAGGCCAACTACCTTGACAAAGACCTTCTGTCGGGTCAGCAAGTTAAATTAGCTTCATAAGAGGTACAGTGAGCACCAAAGACAATGCAAAGGTGATAGTGCTGACGGGTAGGTGGGATTGAAGAAGTGAAGGGAGCAGTGGGTGAACAGGAACTCCCCTTTTATAGAAGCATTTGCCAGCTCAACTTAGCCACAGCATCAAACATAACTTATAGTCTGATCATGACTGATCACTCTAAACTCAAACTGTGCTAGGCTACACTTCCCTAAGAGTTCATGCATGGACACCACAGAGAGCACAGAAAAAACAGTTCAGGTCCTTGAATAGAATGCAGATGGATGTATTCTCATCAGGCTTTCTAGTTAAAATATGCCAGTAGCTTCAGTATTTTAGTAAAGCAAAAGCAAAGGCTGCACACAGAAGCAAAGGAAAACAAAAATATTAATTCTCTACTTCCCATAAGCAGTTATGTCCAGTTACATCCTAGTAAGCAGGTCCTCACTGTGCTTAGAGGTTACTCTGGAACACAAATGCCTTAAAAATTGCCGCTCCTTCCTCTCCTCCTTTCCCTCAGCTTTCACTGCCAAGCAGACACCCTGGTATGGAATGTCTCTTTGGTTAGCTTGGCTTAGCTGTCCTGGCTGTGTTCCCTCTCCAGATCTTGCCCACCCCCAGTGTACTGGCCCTTGAGGGGGGATGTTGCAGACACAGCCCTGATGCTGTGCGAGCCTGCCCAGCAGTGCCCAAAGCACTGGTGTGTTACCAGCACCTTCCTGGCTCCCAGCACACAGCACTGTGAGGGGCTGCTCTGTGGGAAGTTCACTCCACCCCAGGTAGACACAGTACACTCACCCAATCCAACACTTTCTGGATTTCCCAATGCCAAAAAAAATGTCAAACTGGATTTTGCAGAAGCAAGGCAAGCTGCCTGACCCACCAAAATATAGGATACTGCTATGTTTTATGATTAACACTTATTCAGTTTTCTTTATTGAAAAAGATTATTACACAAGGAATCCAAGAGCTCTGTGGGAAGTGTATAAACACCAGAAGTGTTTCTGTAATTGCTACTCCCACTTGAGTGCACATTGCAGATTTGTCCGGCATTGGACACAGTTAGGAATGTTACTGGATGCCTGATAAAAAAATGGGGTAAGAAACTAAGAGAACAATGTGAAAAGCTTATCTCACTGTACTGAGTTGGGTTACAGTAACACATATAACATTTCTCCTTCACAGTTCTCTATTTAGTTTTGCAGTTAAAGGAGCACATTCTCTAAGCAAAACTCCCAAAACCTTTAGCAGCGGTTAACACATGGAAGAAAAGCAATAGTGAATAGAAAGAAAAGTGCAAGTTCAAGGCAATTGCCCCACTTATCAGTGTGGTAACCTGTACTAATCTAAGAAAGAGGTTTAACAAAACAGGGCTCTATAAACTCATTAACAGTTACCACTAGCATGGGCAAAAGTGATTATGAAGAGGCATCTGAAAGGTTGGATTACACTTCTTTGCCTTTTCTCTTCCCTGCCATTTTATGCAAAGAAACCCCCTTCACTTGCACATGTTGGGAAAGACAGTCAGGAAAGCAGGGGGAACATTGGCCAGACCTGTCCTGCCACTGTAGGGCAACTTGGTGTTGCCCAGCCATTGTAACCACAGTGCTTGAGGACATCACAGCCTCCCCAGAATAAATAAAGCATTTTCTTCCCACCACAGGCAGCACTTCAACTTCACAGAGGCATAATTAAGCCTTTCATATTCCTCACTGATATGCCAAAAGCTCCTAAGTGAGAAAATGAATACCCCTGCACACAAAAATCAGTTCTGACCACTGCCTAGACCTTCAGTGAAAGTATGTGCTGCAGGCAACCAAAATAATAGCTGACAATTCCAAAGAGCTGACACTGGTATCATGGTTCAGTCTCCAAAAAATCATTTTTGATTTAAGGCAGATCTGCAATATATCAACAATCTGTCACCCACAGGCTTCGCTACAGATCCACCCTTACAGAGACAACAACTGGGAGCAGTGGCTGGACTAAACCACTGGATTCAGCCAAGCCACCTGTTAGTATGAAAAACCATATTGCATAAGCCTCTTAATCTAGATACATTTTAAAAGTAGCTGCTTCCTAGGCTCTCTCTGACTGTTGTTACTGGGAGATGATCTGGTTTTCTAATTGCTTTAATGGAAAATAATCATCTTCCAATTTCCCACTAAAGTTTATTCTCTATTTTACAACTACTTGTTTGTGGCTCAGATCAGAGTTTTGCATTTTCTTTTCCTCTCAGTCCTTAGTGTTACAGCCTCCTCCTGGCATTCTTTCTGCACTATACAATGTTATGGAGAGATACAATATACCCTCTCAAAGAGCAGACGGATGGATGGAGCTTTGGCATCCTGCCCATGGTAAAAAAGGTTGGAATGTGGTGATCTTTAAATGGCCCTTCCCACACAAACCATTCTATGACTTCATTCGTTGCTCAGACTTTTGTGATATCTTCTCGTAAGAAAAGCTACTAAAATAGTAAGAATAGAACCTTTCTTTGTACCTCCTCCAATTTTAATTAATGTTTTTTGAATATGAATCAGTAGAACTTCACGAATTACTTTGATATCCTCACTAAAACTTTGAATAACATCATTAACACTTCTCTAAATGTGCTAGAAATAATTCAGGTTCATCAGGCCAACACTCCTAGAATTGTACTTGCCAAAGTAATTTGCCTGCGTTTCCAACTAATGAGCTTCTGTCTGAAACAGCAATTTTTGTTGTTCAAATACTTGTAGATTCAAATAAGTATTAAGGATTCAGATCCAACATTCATCCTGAGGAATTTCAGAGCTAACCCTCTCGTATACAAGAGCTTTCCTTTCATTGCTGATGTTATTATCTACTGAGGTACGGCCCAACAAATCCTTTTCTAAATACAACTTTTCAATCCCACAGTTTCTTATCTGCAAAGAAAAGATGTTTACCGAAGTTAAATGACATTTACTGCACTTCTACATAGACAGGTATTAGTTAGTCTAGCTTAAATGCCTTCAGCACTTCATTCTACTTTCCCTTTATTTTGTATTTGTCTTTAGCTTAAAAGAACTGTTCTAAAGTTCCACACATTCTCTAAATTACTCTGGCCAATGCATAGCTGTCTGCATCTTTTTCTTCTAACCTCCCCTTTAATACAGCTTCTATATACACAACATTCTTGAGTCATCTTATAACATCTGAAAATGAAGATATTTTATAATTACATGCTCACTATTATATCACTTGCACACAATTACGTGACGGAGGTTCCCCATTACCCAACATTAGTAGATGGCTTGGAAACTCACCAAATCATTTGTAAAAGGAAATCTTGAGTAAAACCTTGTGAAAAAAACAACAAACCAAACTGCAAGTGATTTATAACTGTGTAAATCAATGCTGGAGAAAAACATCTACTGAAATCTGTGCACTTTTATGAAACGAAGAACAATGTTGAAACCCGACTCTGTGTGTTGCTGTGTGTTAGCAATTTGGGGCACTGTTCTCAGATCTGTGAGTAGTATATTTTGTATTAGCAGCCTGGCTTTCCATCACTGTGTCTAAAACACTCTCGGTTTTGTGGTTCCCAGATCTGGTATTGTCTTACAAAGACTGGCTTTAGCCCCGATGTTTATCAACTCATCATTTCAACCCCTTCAAAAATCTTCTGCAATTTTAAAAGAAAATGTTTGTTGTTGTTTTTTTTTTAATTGAAATGTGTTATTTCTCACATATACAGTTTTAAGTTATAAACCCAGGTTTGTTTCTTCTATTTAAGGAATAAAGTTCTCAGAAAAACCAGAAATTTATACACAGTTACATAAAATTAAAATGCCAAGCAAACATGCACAGGTTTTTTTGAGAATTGATTATTGTAAAAAATCCCCCTTTTTTTTTTCTGGTGATGCTAGTTTATAAAGAAATGCAAGATGGCCTTTCAGGTTTTGCTTGTTTGTCTTCAATCCACAAACCTGAGGAAAATACTCAAAAAGACAGTACCTACATACAGAGATGTAGCACTATGTTAACCTGAAAGAAAAAAAAATGCAAACAGTGAACTAACACATCTAGTTGAAAGTTACAGGGAATTTTATTATATTAAATAAAATGTACTTGCAACTTTTTTTCTTTTTTAAGTGGACTTGATCCTAAGTCTGCTTCTTAACAAACTCTGAAGTGTTTTTGCAAGTACTTTCACTGAAGTCTTTCAACTCCTGTGTCTCTTTTCATTGAACACAAGACCTAGTGGATATTTACTAACATCTAGGTTGTTATGTACCTGCCTCACAGTTTAATTTATAACACTGGAAACTAATTTTCTGGACTAATGTTGCATTTAAAACTCAGTTCAAAGATTACATACGTTTTTGGTAATAACATGATACAGAAATATTCTATAACTCTCGGCTAATAGGAGTTTTATGTAAGCAGTAGTTTGCCCACAGCTTAAGTTTCTAATGGGATACTCACAGTAGGGCTCTATCCAACCATTCCACATATCCTACTTCTTATTACGCAAGCAAAACCCAAGTTATTTGCAGACACAGAATTCAAGCACAAAAAGGAAAAATCAGAACATCCAGTACCATTCGCACATCTGAGGCTAATACATTTCATCCACTTAATCAAGTAACTCAAGATCATTTGTTTCATCCAGAAAAAGAACAGAAGTAACTGTGATTTTACCACGCGCTGTTCTCAGGCAGTCTTCGCTGATTTCAGAAACCTTTGACTCCAAATCTTCTGGCTGAAGTGCAGTGTTGTGACTTTCCCCCTGTCAACTGGCACAAAGAATATGTCATTCAATTTTCAGCTTGTGCCTTGCTTCTCTCTCTTCTTTATGCCTACCATAAAGTCCTTACTTAGACATCATCCCTGATAACTCACCTTTGTGGGAGAATCATGAGCAGAACTGGAAGAATGTCGTTAACTTTTAATTTTATATTTTCTGGTCTTATCTTCTGATGATCCGATCCTATGACTTTAGCTTCCAGAGGAAAAGGCTTTTAATAATTTTACTCTTTATACACTTACTTAAGAATTAAGCCACCTATTCTTTCTGAATAATTAGACTGAGTCCCTGATTCTCCTCACATTAAGATGCTGACTTAGCTTTCTCACAAATACTGCACCCTTCTATTTTTCCAGCATCCACAAAAAGTATGAGCGCACAGAATGAGCAAGGATGCATTTTGCAGTGGTGTACAGAGATATTGTAAATCGAACTACCCTGTTATGGAGGTAAGCTTGTTAAGATCTCATGCTAATCTATACCACCCAACTGTCAGCACCTGAGTTGCCTGTCCTCTCTGAAGCCTCAGCAATTCTCAGATTCACTCTGTAAAAATTACCTTCATTATACTCACTTCTTGCTACCTACTGTTTTGTAACTAACTATGCCTAAAGCCCTGTATGAAGGGCTCTAAGCTACTGTGTGACCCAAATTGCCATATATGATCACCTTCTTCTCACCCTTACTTACCTTCATGACAATTGTTGGTTCCTGTGAGATTTGACTACTTCTTTCATCATCAAGAATTAACCTAGCAGAAGCAAATGCAGTATTGCTCTCTCCAGAGATCTTCTGGAAACACCTCTAAAGAAACACTACAGTCTTTGGAGATTTAGAGTACATTTTAATCCATTTTAAAGCACTTATTGTTTTAAACAGAACTCTAAAGAGAAAATTAAGATTTTTTTTCAAAGAAAATATACTTTCCTGAACCTAGTATCATTAATAGAACTCAGAACTTCAGTAATGCTTACAAATAAATCATGCTATAGGATTTAAAGTGCTCCCTATAGCTCAAGAAGAGCTTTAGTATTCTTTTCCATTTTAGATTTGCTGTGGTTTAACAAAATCAAATTTAGAACCAGATGATGAAATCTAAACTTCAGCTGTTCTGTGTTAGATCCTGTGACCTATTCTGATCCAGCAAAGCCTGATTCTGCCAAAAAAATTTGGCTTCTCTGTGCTCTTACACTGAATTCAACAGAAGTACACCTACACTTAATGCCTTCTGCCTGCTAGATCATGTCCAATTTCTGTGGGAGCTGAGAGGATTAGAGGATATAATACAGCAACAACAATGTATATTTGAAACCACTCATGGACATGAACAAGATGAAACTCTACTAGTACTGGGCCTTTTAAAAAGCTTGAGAAAGGCCTTTTTTCTATTAAAAGTTAATGTATTTACATTAAGAAGAATATAAGTTTTTTCTTAAAAAAATATTTGATGGAAAATTGTGACAGCAAACAAAGATCTTCAGAATAGAACGATTTAGCCTCTAAAAGTAACCATGACATGGTGGTGGGTTTTTTTTTGGTTTTTTTTTTTGTTTGTTTTTGTTTTGTTGTGTTTTTTTTTGTTGTTGTTTTTTTAAGGAAAAATGCAGTTTTTTAAATGTACATTCCTCTGACCAAATTTATCATTGCTGACTTTTGGTCAGTGGTACAGTCTCAGGGTATTTTTAAGCTTTAGAGATTGACTTAAGATTACATAAGTTAATTCTTTCCTAGTAGAGAGTATACCTGTAAATCAGTATTAATTTGGTGTGTCCCCAGGGGATCTCTGGGTTCAGCTCTAAATGGGCTTTTGAACAAACTGCACTTTCAAGTGCACTTTGCAGTGCACCTGCAATCTTAATTTTTTGGTGTCATCACATGGCTTACTGCATCATGTACCTTGTCTGTGGAATTGTCCAACTAGCTACACAATGACAGAGCCTTTGTTTTACTGCAAAATTAACACAGAGTCTTGCGTATGTATTTTTAACTTTGACAGTCTATTTTAGGCAACACAGAAGAGAGCTACAGTGCAAGTCACGTCATTTGATTTCAGTTTAAGTATTTACATGGTAAGATATCTCTGAAATGCTCCGGAATGTTTGCATTAATAGATTCTCTAAAGAAGAACATGACTGAATTCTTGAGGCAAGTCCCTCCAGCACAGCTGGGGACCGAGGCAACTGGAAACAAAAGAGAGAGAGAGGGGCATGTACGTCATCTGCCCCACATGGAACACTGTGCTTGGCAGGCCAGTGGCTGCAGTGACACACATGCTGCTGCCCTGCATTGTGTTTGTGTCCCAAGGACTGTGAAATGCTCATGGCTGGGAGCCCAAAGCCAAGAGCTAACTCTTATGCTACTCCGCAGCTTAGCAGGATTGTGCTGCCAGATTAAAAACCCACTCTGCCAACTAGGACGCCTGGACCTGAGTTTCAGGGTGGATAGAAAATTAGCCTCCCACCAAGATAAACATGGGAGGTTTCTCATGGGGAAAGCAGCAGAACAAAGTAGAACAGAGACCGTTTTAAACCTATCAGTTCTGTATCAAACCCTGACTAAATTGTTTTTAGCATGACACTGATTTACAGAAAGGTTTCTTGATTCATCTTAACCCTCACTAGGGCCTATGCTAGCAGGAAGGAACCATAAGGAAAAATAAATAGCTAACTCTATTAAAATTCTGTAGCTGAAATAAAAAGTGAATAAATGGCAACAATCTCCTTAATTCATTGATTTAATCTCTCTAATTTTTCCCATGAGGCAGTTTATATGGGAGTTAATGAGGTGTCAGTCATCAGTCATTGGACACTGACTGCTCCACATTCAAGAGGCTGATTAAACAATATAGGTGCTTATTTCATTCTGGCAGCACAACAGGATTGAGATTATAAGTTAGGAAAGAGACCAGACATTTTGAGCAAGGGAGAGGCAATCATTCTAGTTATACCAGTCTGAAGCTATTCTCATAAAACTCCCTATAATATTAACTTTTTCCTTACTTGGATTGGAACAGAGGAAAACACCTAAAGCATGCTATGAAGTATAAAACAAAATAAGGCACATGCAGAGTTACTCTACATCTAAAACTGAGCAGGGGGTCAGCATGGCTAATGGACATCTATCTTCAAAAGGAATTCCTCTGTACAGACAGAGATTGTTAGAAAAACTTCCAACCTACTTATAATTTAAAGACTCAGCCTATGAAAAAACAGTTTCCTGTTTTGCAGTAGTGGATAATTTTCTTCCAGTCTTTTCTTTTGGTGATGTTGAACAGTTGTCAGTTTATACGGTACAGTTCTTTAACTAATTTCATCATCCTGACCAATTATCTCCAGATATTCCTATCTTCTCTGTAACACCATTTACAGCATTCACCTGAACCTGCAATGAATCAGTTAAAGGAACTAAAACCAATCACTTTTCTTTTTGCAGAGATATTTTTTTATTATTATCTCCTTGAACAAATCAGTGAAATAGCAAGAGAGGAGGTGGAGATGGTTTGAACTCTTATGCAATAACAAACCCGATCTGCTTAAAGCACCTGTTTCAGGCAAATACTAAGGATAATACCTGTGAAGTTTTGATTCAATGATGAGGATGTAGCTAAAAGTTAGCATCAAAGTAATAATGTCAAAGCCAAAGAAAAACTAGTTTTTTACTGCCTGCTATGAAAGGATTATTAAAATATGTTGAAATAGATGTATTTTGCACCCACTGAGGCCACCCTACACAGTTGTTGAATCTAGTAAGCAGCAGTCCGTTAACAGCAGTGAGCTGAAAACAAAACGCAAGAGAGGAAATACAGTAAAAACATTTTTGAGGTACTCATGAGTATTGGTTATTACCTGCAACAAGATTCCTCAAGCCTGTTTGAATGAAGACAGTTCACACTACCATTGCTGGTACAACCGTGATAACAAACCAGACTTTCATGGAGTTACTAGTTAAGACTTGTATAAAAATGTCCATCACACAACTGAAGAGTTACTAAGCCTGGGTGACCTTTGTCTCAACTATCTGCTTCTAGAATCACAGAAAACAGCCACACACTCCTCCACGACCTGGGAATAGTTAGTTGTTATTTGCGGGAATCAGAGAGAGATTTTCCTGAGAAGATTAAAATCAGCTAAATACACAAACAGCAGCTTTTCTCAAGTGGCAGTAGGATCCCCATGCAATGGGATAGCATGACCAAAGTCTGAGAAGTAAAAAATCTGGGAACATGATGTTGATTCTTAAGCTGTGGCTACTGGTCTCCCCATAGTCAGAAAAATAAAGTTTTAAGATCAGGTGGAAAAAATGACAACGGGGGTATGTGGGGGGATGAAGTCCTACAGATCTAGTGAAAATTACCTCCTATTGGCAGAATCTAGCCCATACTCTAGGCTGTATCTACCTGTTTTTGGATGTGCAGTACATATAAAGTTGTGATTTCTCATACAGAGAAAATGAAAATTCCAGGTTTGTGTCTAGCACCTTTCATTATTAGCAGTCAGAACAAAGGCAGCAGCTTCCCAGCTAATGAGGTCACAGTCCTCAATGCAGACAGCATTTATACAAGGAGGGCAGCTTACACTGACTTCTCTTCCAAAAGCTAGGGGTGTAATTCAACAACACACTGACAATACACCAATATGGCTATCTCAGGAAACTTTCCTAACTAAACTTACTCCCTTTCCCATACTGCAGTTCCCTTCGTATTCATTTGGGTGGACACAGCTGCTTATGGGTCTGTGAGACAATCAAGAAAATGGTTTGCACTAAAAAATAAGCTACAATTTTTATTAAAGCCTAAGTCATCTCAGTGAGTCAGTTTATACTACTGCCGAGAAAAGTAGCTGTATTTGCACGACACAGTGATAGTGAATGGGAGAACAGGGATAGGAAATAAAAGCTTAAGGGTGTAATTTCTTTTGCTATTAAAAGTAATGTATAATGGAAATAGTCTTTAACTGGAACCTATTCAAGGTTAATGTTCTTTCTTACTTC